GACACAAAGTGAGCAAATGCTGTTGGAAAAAATGCTGCCAACAGACTTGCTCGACCCAGGGTTGCCACAAAACTTTAATTTGTAAAAAAACACAATACCTGCCAAGCACAATAAAGTGAAGCACAATAAAATGAGGTATGCCAGTATAGTTTATTCAGATACTAATGACAGACTGATTGAATATTCATGTTAACCTTTTACCATTTTGATATAAAGGGAGCCAAGCTGTAAAGTTGCAGGCATCTCGAACATCTCTTCATTTTCTCGGTTTATGAGAAGCAACGGAGTATTAGGGTAAAAATGGTTCTTAGGGTTTCAAGATAAAACAGCTTTTATTGAGTGCAACAAACAGAGCAGCCATTTTTAGGAAAAGGAGTAAAAAAAACCCTGCAAGTTAAGCACCCCCAACCCTTACCAAGAAGAAACAAGTTGTTGCATATCACAATTGACGCCTGGCTGTTTGTTTACACAGTCTCGTTTTCTCCATAGTTATTACCAGCATTTTCTACTTTTATCATTTCGTTTTTATCACCCTTGATGAAAACGAGAGGTTTACCAGATGGAAGCAAGCTTCTCTACACTTTCACACGTCGCTTTTGATGTGGTATGTAACGAAAGTACTTAAGTATTTTGAAACATAAACAACCTGACCTTTCCTTGTTGCACTGGGTGAAGGATACCTAGGCCAACAAGAAGAGTTCTCATGCAGTAGAATATTATTCAGCCTCAGAAAAGGAATGTAGTTCTGACAGATGCTACAACGTGGGTGAACACTGAAGACAGAAATGACATAAGTGAGACACAGAGGGACAAATACTACGTTTCCACATACATGGGAGACCTCAAAGAGGCAAATTCAAAGAGGCACTCAGTAGAATAGAGAGTGCCAGGGGCCGGAAGGACGGTGAGGCGATAGGGAGCCATTTTTTAATGGGTACATTCAGGAGGAGGATGTAAAATTATAGTGGGGGTTGGCAGCTGTCCATCTATTTAATGCCACTGAATTGTACAATTACAAACGGGTTAAGTGATAAATATTACGTACACGTTACCCCAGTGGGGGAAAAAAATTGAAAAACACGGTAGGAATTCTGCCAAGATCTTACAACTGAGGAGTAGAAAGTTCTCACCTCTCTTCCTGGGCCTGATGCCTGAATATGTTTTGATTCGGCCAACTTTTAAAAAAGTTCCTGCGTGGGCTCCTTCCTTCCTTCATTTGGTTCATTCAGTTGATACATATTTATTTAAAAACAAAAAGTCATGGTATGTCTTGTTAGACCGAGGACTGGAAAGATGAGTAAGGGAGCCCACGAGACTGGGAGAAGACAGCCATATTCACATATGATCAAAATACAGTATAAAGGTTGTAGCAGAAGTCAATGAATAGTGGCGGGAATGCTGGAGAGGAGGTTCCTGAGGGGTGAAGGCTTCGTAGAAGAGTTGATAATTTATCTAGGTTTGAATTTTGAGAAGGAATTGGTTGGGATGTTTTTTTGTTTTGTTTTGTTTTGTTTGCATTTTAGTGATATGAACTACATTATCACTCACATTTTACGCCTTGAAATCTTGGATCTAAAATATTTGCGGGCTTTTCAAATAGTTTGTGGTTTTTCTTTCTTAAGGGTCCATGGAGACTGGTTCCTGGAGGCATAAAACCACGTTGGTTCATTTCTCTGTTTTGTTTTCTCAAAATTTATAAGCAAAACCACCTTGAGAAATAATTCAAAGTAAAGGAGATGTTCAGATCTCTCAAAGAGCTTGCGTTCTAAAAGGAGTTATGGCAAAGACAGCTGGGCCTCGGGTGTCTTAAGAAAAGTCAGTGTGGGCGGGCTGTGCAGAGGCTGGACAAGTGACTTCTGCTGGGGGATGAAGCAAAGCTCAGTGGAGTTGGGGAGGGTGGGGGGGCTTCTTTGCACTTTCCCCAGAAGGCTTTGTGGTAACTGGATGTCAGTAAGGTCATTTTATCCAGATAGAAAAATCTGAGCAAAACAAAGGCGACAAACGCTTCGTCCTCTTCAGGGAAGCAGTGAAAAAACAAGCCAGAGAGGCCTAATGGGGCCCGGTTACGAGGGCCTCCAGACTTTCAGTGTCCCCGCTTATTCTAGGAACCCAAGAACCATGATTTGTCGCCGGGTAGGTTTGGAAGAGAAAGGCTAAGAGCCTTCACGCCCACCCCCATGTACACGGGATGGAGCAAAAGCAGTGATCTAGAAGCATTGGCAGGATACTGGGCTCTTGGGAGGGTGGGGATACACCGAACTAGAAGCAGGACATAGTGAAAAGAAGAAAACGGGTTTTGGAATCTGTCAGCCCTGGATTCAAATCCCGTAATCAGCCTTTACTGACTGTGTAGACTTGTCCAAATGACTTAGGACGTCAGAGCCTCATTCTCCTTGTGTGACAAATGAGGACAATAATAGTGTCTTCATATAGGGCTGTCCTAAGGATTACAGAGAACGCAGTGACACGCATATGTAGACTCCAGATGGCCCCAAGGTCCCAATGTCAGTTCTTTCCCCAGGTGACCTCTAAGGTCCCTTCTGAATGTCTGTGAAATAATTCAAAAGTTTCTCCTACAAAAATAATTTATTCACGTAATCGAAGTTAAAATATATCCCTCATGTATTTCCAGACAGTTAATATAATTCGTTTCAAATATCAATAAGAATGTCACAGCCAAAATAGATCCTCCTGAGGCAGACCCTTGCCTGTGGGAATGACGCAAATATTTTTGGAAGCTGTGTTAACCATTTCAGTCCTCTGTGTTGCCGTTTAGGGCTCAGAACCACGTGTTTAGGAAATGGTGTCGTCTTGTCAGATCTAGTCCAAGGCCTTGCAAACGTGTGCGCGCATTTGAAAACCTCTCCCCTGCTTTCCGTTAGCGATAGTCTAGATTGCAGTTCCCCGCCTGTCTTTGACGGGCCGCTTCATGGAAATCTTTTTCGTCTGATTATTCTCAAGGCAAACCTCTTAGGTTTTCTGTTTTGTGATGACAGTATTCGGAAACGAGGTCACCTCCTTTCTGGCTGTTGTATCCTTCTGTGTCTCCTGACGTAGAGATAAAGCTGTCGGGGTGATGGTGGTGATGGGAGTCAATAGACGGTATGGGAGAGGCCTCTGGCTTGTCAACTTTTAATATGATATTGACATTTAGTTTGGATCCCAATGCACCCTTGTTATATCTTTCCTGACACCTGGCTCACGTTATATAGAAACTTTCGGGACACTTTTTCTTGTTGAACTCTGAGCTCATTAAGGAGAAGGTCTTTTCTTATCTATCTCCATATTCACAGGATTAGCACTGAGTCTGAACATAACACGCAGCGCAATAAAAAGATCCTGAAGACAATAATTTCCTAATAGGATATCATGAACATCTTTTCAGAATTTCAAAGAAAATTCACTGCTCAGGTGTCTGTGTGACAGTTTCATTTAAAATTAACGTGAGAAAAAAATAAAATGAAGTTAGTATCAGGGCGCCTGGGTGGCTCCGTTGGTGAAGCGTCTCTTGATTTCGGCTCCGGTCATGATCTCAAGGTTGTGAGATCAAGCCCCACGTAGGGCTCTGTGCCGACACCACGGAGCCTGCTTGGGATTCTCTCTCTCTGTCTCTCTCTCTGCCCCTCCCCCGCTCTCTAATTCTCCCTTTTTGTGATTCCTATGTAAGAGAGCAGGAAGGAGATACAATTGAAAGCTGTATCCTACTTGTAATTAAAAGAAATAGTGAAAGCCCAAATTCTGATTGAACTGTTGGCCCAGGTATGAATTCTTTAATTCCTTTTCTAACTTGTATGCTTTCCAGCAAACATAAAACTAAATAAACCCAGGAATTAACTAATTGGCTCTTTTGTACTTGCCTTTGCAGACAAAGGTAATATTTATGTTGATTATACTTGGATCAAGGTGTTGGTATTTTAGAAACGACATACACTCTAATGCTGTATAATCTGCTTTTCATGGTACTTCCCACTTCAGTTTTTATACATTTCTATTTGACATAATCTTTTGTCTCCGTGCCGTTCATGTAGAAAATCATTTAAAAATGGTTGGATATGAGATGGGACTGGATAATGTGCAAAAGACTTCTTAAGGGTGAATACAATGTATCAAAGAATAATTTGCAAAACCAATATGGCAGAAGTCATATTTATTGAAAAAAATTAATATCTTTGCTATAAAATTTGTAACAGGAATATTTACTGAATGTTTATTTTGATGCATAAACCTGAATATTACATACCAAGTACAAGACAGGAGCACTAGCTTTTCCTTTATTTACATTTTATGAAAACTGTTATGCAGTCCATGTTAAAAGAAGTGATGACGGAGAATTGTTACATTAGAAAAATAATATTCTTGATAAAGCATTCTCAAGGAGTCCAAGGAGTCCAATCACATTTTCTGCCTCTTCAATAAGGCAAAAGTCCCTGGAATAGCATATAACTTAATTTACAAAATACAATAAATGTTCAGACACATATTCAAGTTTTCTTTTGGTATGATTTTTCTCACTGTAAAATTACTTTTTTATTTTTATTTTTGTTGTTGTTGTTGTTGTTTTGTTTTGTTTTGTTTTGTTTTTTACTAAAACAGAAAGACTTTCCGGAAAATGTCATTGAATGATTTCCGCTATACATTACATATACAACTCTGTAGTAGCCTAGCAACAACCATTGCTACACCATCATTCACTTTAAATATTCTGCTCGGTGAGCTATTCTCAAATGTAGCATATTTTAAGATTCTGCCATCGTGATGACTGTGGAATCGTTGGTTTTCATAGGGAACAGATCTGTCACAGTATGGAGCTTGGTTTTAGGGAACTGGTACACAATTACATTTCCACTCACAAGAGGACGCCACGGATGTCACTGAAGTCTGGCTCTGATGGCTCCGCAGGGGTCCCACGCCGGACGACCCCAACCTCCAGTGCTCACAGCGCACAGCCCTGGCCGAGTTCAGGCGGTTTCACTTCCAGAGACTTGTTTAATTCCTCATAGTTAGGTCGTCTTAATTCCTTCAAAGGCACACAGCTTCCACCTTTTTTCCAAAGTCGCTCCCACGCCTGTGAATTCCTGTTTGAACATGCGTGGCAGCCTCATCAGAAGCATTTCGATTTCGTTGGCGGATATCTGTTTAGAAAGGAAGAAAAGTCACTTTTAGAAACAAGGCTCCCCCGAAAGGAGGCAAGGGGTGGGGTGAGGAGGCGCTTGCCCGGTGAGCCAAACAACGCGACGCTCTCTACTTGGCTGTCAAGGAAGGCTCCTGGGAGAGGAGCACCAGTAAAGCACCGAACGTGGTTATCCTGGTCGTCCCCTGAGCAGCCGGTGGGGGTGCGGGCGCAGGAGACGAATGGGTGCAAATTCCAGGCTCACCGTTCATGTGGACGGCTAGCTTCCCGGTAGTGCCAGGCTTCAACAGCACTCTCCCCCTTGATACAAAAGGAGGTGAGAATGGGACTTATGAGGGCTGAGAGCAAGTTCATCACCACTCCCGGCGCTCTCATCCTCTTCTACAAAGGACAGCGCTTCTGTCTAACTCAGTGAGGGCCAAAGGGCATTTGAGTAGATTTCTGGCCGCCCTAACTTCTCTTCTTTCTCTTCCCTTAATTCTCACAGGGACCAGAAGACCATAAAGGTTTAGGAACAGAAATGAAAATCCAGAACCTGCAACGGTAAAAGTCTCAACATCCATTCTTAAAATCCAGGTACTTTTAAATTTTTTTTAAGTTTATTTATTTATTTTGAGAGAGAGAGAGAGAGAGAGAGTTAAGCACAAGCAGGGGAGAGGCAGAGAAAGAGGGAGAGAAAGAGAATCCCAAGCAGGCTCCACAGCTCCACACTGTCAGCGCAGAGCCCGACTGGGGGCTCGATCCCACAAATTGTGAGATCGTGACCTGAGCCAAAATCAAGAGTCGGAAGCTTAACTGACTGAGGCACCCAGGCGCCCCAATCCAGGTTATTTTTTAATGCATTTTTTTCTTCTACCAATTTTTCTTTATTACATACAGTTTTATACCAATAATTCATTTTATCTTAAATAAAGGGCAATCCGACCATAATCCGTCTGCTCTAATACAGCTATTGTTCTTGTTTCCGTGTCTTTGCTTCCTAATCCATGCGTTTGCATGGGGATCTCATACAGCAAGGTGGCTAAGACCCTGGAACCAGGGTGGGGCTAACATTTCTATTTGAATCCTGTATCTACTATTGTTAGGAGCTAAATCACTCCAGCCAAGATAATTAGTCTCTCTAAGCCTCATCAAATGGGAATAACAACATGTAATAATGATGTATGAAGACTACTGGCTTAGCATAGACTTGGCATGTAGAAATGTTTAATGAATCAGACCTATTATTATTTTTCATGGTACAATCGTTGAATAGATATTTTAGAGTCTACACTTTCCATTTCACATTTAAATGTGAAATAAATTTAACATTTATTTTAAAGAGAGAACCGAATAGACCAGGAAGTCAAGCCAACTGTTCATTTAATGTTCACATAGAGAAGATTTCACGTGATACGGTTGATATTCCTAGACCTATAACAAAAGACCTTTCGAGGTGGCCCTGAAAGTTAAAACAAATTGCATTCTAAAATTTTTGCGTGAATTATTTTGAAATCTGAATGCATTTTCCCATGAAGCCATGTTAAAGGGGTTATTAGATTCCCAGGTCAACCCACAAAAGCCTGTTAAAGGTTCATGTGATTTTGAAACATTTTGTTTCAGTGAGCTCTGTGCGGAATGCCTTCCTAGCACCCTGGTTTCATTGTCACAACGCTCCTAGGAGGTGCGTAGGGCAGAAATGTCAGGATCTATCTCCATTCTGGAGCTGAGAAAATGGAGTCAACTACAGAGGCGTTTATCACGGAACTGGGAAAGAACCCATGGCTTGTGCACAGGAACTAGGCACTGGTATGCTTTGCGAGCTCTGCATGATTTCAGCAGTTATGGGTGAAGATCACCCAGGGTGGGGTGATTGCTTTTGAAATATCAGTCACCTGAGTTTTCTTTTTTTCTTTTTTTCTTTCTTTCTTTCTTTTTTTTTTTTAAATCAGGTTCCCTAGTCTCTTCTCTGGAGACTCTGATTCAGCCTCTCTGGGATGTTGCTCATACACTCTATTTTATATACTCTAATCATACACTAATCACCCCTGGTAATTCTTAAGAACAAGCATATTTAGGTTAAGAATGGGGATTTAAAATCAGACCAGGCTTGGATTTGAATCTGGGCTGGGCCAAGATGTGTAACCATGGGCAGGTCATTTAATAGCTGTTCAGTTTCTTCATGTGTATAATAGCTCTCTCAGCCTAATTGTGAGGCTTATACACAAAATATAGCACAGTGCCTGGCACAAGATGTTTCTCTCTATGTACATATAGGGCGATGCTGATAGAATACGATGCTCTGTTCTCAAACTTTTTGTGATAGATGGGTCAAGCTCTGTGCCCGTAAGTCAAACAAGTACAGAGAAGTAGGTGGTCAACCCAGTTTTTACTTGGTCCAGAAAGCAGTTTCCTGAAGCCAAGTTCTCCTCTTAACAACCTCCTTTCTTTCCTCGGGAGGAGGACAGCACAGGTCATCCATGGTAGGCTCGAGTCTCCAGTGCATTCAAGTGATACCCCTGAGACGAGCTGTCCTTCCCCAGATCGGGCCGAGCCGTGGAGAGGCTGACAGACCCGGGTAACAGCCAGCCTATCGGGGTTGTTTTCAGGATAACCACCATCTCCCTTGGAAGAGGAGGGAAGGGACTTTGCGTTGTTCATTAGGAAGGAGAGAAAAAGCTGAATTCTTGAGGGTAAAGTAACAAGTCTGATCTAAAGATAACACCTATGCAGGAGGCCAGCCGGGGTCAGGTCAGGGCAGTAGCCCTGTGGCCAACTGTGAAAAGTGGGACAACTCATAATTCCTGAAAACCTTTCGCTTGCCAGACTTCTGAAAACGCTTTTGTTAATTCTCAGCTACATTCTCATAAGACAGGGAATGACTTACACGCAAGAAAACAGGTCCAGACAGATTAGGTGCCTTATGCAGGATAACCCAGGCACTAAGTGTGGAGCTGGGGTGCGGATCCAGAACTGGCCTGGCCTTGTTCTTCAACATTAATGCCAACTGCCACAGGGGGTGGGGGGCTGTGAGTGAGAACTGGAAATAATCCTCCTGGTCGCTGTCTCCCTGTTTGGGGCAGGGGTCCGTGTACTGGAGGGCAGGTGATAAAGATGTCGACACCAGTAACAAGGAAGTGAGAATTCCCAACTTGACCAGCCCGTGCATGTTCCATTGCTAATGCTTGGAGGCCTCCCCATAAACCGTTCACCAGAACAGCGAGCAAATCACGGGGAGTCTTGTTTTCCATGATGTCTTTCGACCTGAGGCTAGACTTTAACCACCGAGGAAGCAGGAGAAGCATGCAGGGTGAGAGGGGTAGCCACCCTGCCTGAGTCCTCACCGGAGCCCAGGCGCACAGTGTGTGTCTTACGTGCATGATCTCATCAGAAAGCTCATTCAGTAAGCAAGCAAGCAAGCAAACTCCTCACTTGCCGGAAGACAGAAATGTTGAGAGACAACATTTGGAATCCGGTCATGGAATGACCGTTAGCCAGCTTCCTCATCTTGTCTAAATCACTTAAACTCTTTGGGTGTTTTCTCCTTTGCGAGACAAGGGAATTGGAAAGAAACTCACCGACTGCTCTGAGGACTTGAATTTGCGTGCTGGCCCCGCCATATGTTAGTACTGGTCTTTGGGCAAGCTACTTAAAATTCATCTGACCTCTAGGCTGTGGCAAAGATCTCGAACTGATAGATCTCCTGTGTACTTTAAAGCACAAAACAAATGGCAACCAGTACTCGGTACCTCTTACTGTGCACCAGATACTGCTCTGAGTTCTTTTCTTTTTTAATGTTTATTTTCTGAGAAAGAGAGAGAGAGAGCACAAGCAGGGGAGGGGCAGAGAGAGAGAGGCGGAGAGGGAGGGACAGAGAGACAGAGAGGACCCGAAATGGGCTATGCACTGACAGCAGTGAGCTGGATGTGAGGCTCGAACCCACGAACCGCGAGATCATGACCTGAGCCAAAGTCTGACGCTCACCGACTGAGCCACCCGGGTGCCCCGTTCTGAGCTCTTTTCTTTTTTCTTTTCTTTGCTTTTCTTGTCTTTTCTTTTCTTTTTTTCTTTTCTTTTTAATATGTGAAATTTACTGTCAAATTAGTTTCCATACAACACTCAGGGCTCATCCCAAAAGATGCCCTCTTCAATACCCATTGAGTTCTTTTCATATATTAAGTCACTCGATACACAATGGTAATCCGTAAAAACCCATTTTAGTTGAGGGTAAAACTGAGGCACCAAGCTGTTAAATAAATTGCCCACGGTCACACAAATTAGCGACACTGGGATTTGAGATCTTAGGGTGACTTAGTTTGGATGACCAATTCCTTAGATTTTGACAGAGCTGGAAGTCAATGTAATGGAAATGAGTCGTTCATGCTAAGTTACTGTTGGTAGTGGAAGGGAACTGCCCGACCCTGCCGTAAAGATGTAAATCATGTGGACAGGGATGTGTCATAACCACAGAACCCACCACCTCAGATGAACCCCTACCTAAAATATCCATTTAATGAGGCTCTCAGATAAATTGTAGAGCATTTCTTTAAGACGTTTTCTATTTCATGCCAGAAGAAAGATCAAAGAGAAACTGCTTTCAAGTTAGTCTGATGGCTTTTAAACCTTCCTCTACCCTGACAAAATAACTTTTATGATATATCACACTTTGGGATTTTCAAGACAAAGAGAGAATTCAATTGGTCCTCTTTTTTTTTTT